CCTAGAACTAAGATATTTTCTTTCCTTTTCCAGAGAGAAAGAGTCCATTCTCTCTCCTCGCATTGCAAGTCTGAATTGCAAATGGGCAAGACAGTCTGAGACTGGATTCTGGCAGGATCGTTGTTTTGTAAGAAATAATAGGGTTTGGTTTTGTTTTACAAACTCCCATTTTCACCAAAGGTCTGGCTTCTTGGACATCAAACTTCACAGAAGCCACTGGGGGATCTTTCCAGATCATTTTAAATCAAGGCCTTGCTTAAATGGGTGATGGGGGTGGGGAGGCACCTGGATGGAGACAGTTTACCAAAACTGTTATATCCGATGTAAACTGTACCATGAACTGATCACTTCCAGAGAAAAATGCCATCATGAGAACACCTGATCTTTATGGTGATGACTGTCCACCTCTGACAGCTGCCCCATGGTCTCGAATGCCCACTTCCGAAATCCTGAATATTGGAGTTAATGTTGTTACAACTGCTAATAAAAAAAGTGAAATCAAAGCATAGCTCAGATATCATCCTTGGAACCTGACTGTATATTCAAAGATATGTTTGCATAACAATGTCAGAAATTCACAGAGTATGGCTCTGCTCATAAACAGACCTGAAATACAGTTTTAAATACGTCTTTGCATGAGTGAGAATTCAGTCTGCTTCTTTGTTTGCTGTTCCAATGAAAATCTCATTAAAATGTAGGAGTGGTGTCCTCAGTAAAGCCATTGCCATCTGTCATTGGAATCCACACACCTATAGGCTGAGGGGGGAATGTGCTGGAAAACTGGCTCTTCCCCAGGTCGGCGTGAACCTGCTTTACCTGGCCATGCCCAAACCATGTGTTCTGTTACTTGAAAAGGATGTTGGTTGGTTCTGGTGGGAGGTCAGGAACGCAAGCCTCAACACTCAGCACACTACCTGGCACAGAATAACTTTAGCAAATGTTGATTAAATTTATAAAGCAAAATTAGCAGACAGCCTTTCGTGGGGACTTTTGGTATGAGAGGTTGGTGCTGCCAACAAGTAGGCTTTTAAATTATGGACATCTGGGTCTGGGAAGGAGCTTCTTGACTCTGTTCAGGCTTATGTATCAAGGTGAACTTCTCTTACTATCTTTCAAAGTATACACGCCCCAGGAAGAGGAAGCTAATTGTTACTTATACCAAGTTTAGCAAGTTTTAGCTGAGCTTACACACGTACACTTTTGTAATTATTGCTTATCTGGAATAAGGCAATGGAATTTTTTAAAGTACACACCCTCCTAGAGCTTTGAGTTGATTAACTCAATACACAGCTTATGGGAATGACCCACAATTCATATCATCTTTTTCATTTCTGTTGAATGTGCTTCATCATTTCAAGGATTCTACATAGTGACTCTTGGGAAAAAAATACACACTGAGTCTGTCTCAAAGGCCACGTTATTTACCCAGTACCAGGAGCAGCACAGAAACGGCCACCACGCTTCTCTAGCAGATCTTAGACAAACGTTTTCATGGGTTATTTGTGAACGTGGCTGACCCTTAAGTGAAAGATGGATAGAATCTGATTGAAATTCTGTCTCAATGCCTCCCTTAGTCAAACAATTTAGCAAAAATCATTTAAGTAAGATCAACACCAAATTCCCCCTTAAAAATATCTCCAGGGCAGAAAGGGGCCTTGTTACAGGTCTTTTGCAGACTTGTCCCAATAAAAAGTCAGCGGACACACTCAGAAGGACGGACTTTTGCAGCCTCAGCTCCACGAAATTTATAATCTGGCCCAAGAGCTTCCATCACCCTTGTCAGGTTCTGAAATGACATAGTAAATTTAAGCTCCCCAAAAGATGCCTGAATGATACATTGAATGCATACTGACCATGCCTATGGGCGGTCTGGTAACTTGTGTGGCTGACAGTGAGTTAGGTATACTCACATGTCTTGAGATGGGAACAAAATACACAATGACCCAATGGGATGGGAAGGGTCAGTCCTAGCTAAAATCATCATCTTTCTTAGGATCCTAAGTACAGGCACCAAGGAACTAAAGGCTTCCCCCGCCCCGTCCCCATCTTCCTCCCTGCAGAACCTCACCAAAAGTCTTTCACTAACGCCATGTTTATCCAGTTAACAAGCCGCCAGGGTAATCTGTTCTCTGAAACAAGTAATGGCCTAACAAACGCCTGAACATAGAGAGGATTCACCGAGGCAAAATTGCCCAAAACAATTCTTAGTCTTCCAAAGAGCTTGTTCTAAATCAGGTTTAGAGGGAAAAAAGAAAACTCCGTTTTCTTTTCTTTTTTTTTTTTTCAACTCCATTTTCTAAAAATGCTTCCTCGATGATGTGATTTAAGGCTGGAGTAGAAACCAGTTCTACAGTGTTCTGTGTTAGGCTGTGATCTGATGGACAGTGAGGGCTGTGTGGTTGACAGAATGAGGGCTGAAGCGGGAAGGGACCTGCAAGGATCTTCTCAGTGACTGAGAGTAGGGGTGGCCCCAGCTGCCAGAGGACCACAGCTTCCAGGAAAAGCCAACACTGCAGAGCTGGCTGAGATTCACAGCAAGCCACAGGTACACCGGCTCCGGCCACTGACCTTAAGGAGCACGTGCAGGAATAGATGTTCTGCAATAGAATGTTTCATAAAAATGGCAAGCTGGAGAGCCATGTCAATAAATTCAGGGCCGGTAATTAGCAATTAATCCGAGCTGCCCTTAAATGAGAATCGGAGCTTATGCTGGACACACTTCCCATAACACCTGCGCCTTGGCCTCCACCCCCACCCCCATGCAGCCCCTCCCTCCCAAGAGCTAGGCACCCGGATCCGGACTGAGAATGCGCAGCCCTTCCACAAGCCCGCACCTCGGAACAGAGCTGGACGTCAACCCAAAATGACCACGGCAACCAAGCACATTCAGAGACGTCAAAACAGCTTTCCACCCTGAGTACCGCCGGCTGCCCAAATGGAACAGGCAACCCAAATACTCTTGTGTCCTGTTTTTGGAGCCTGTTCCCGCGAGGTCGCTCTCCTGACAACACCACGGCTCCACAAGGTCTCAGTAGATTGGAAATCAACTACATCTGGTCTAAATTAAAGCCACTAGCCACAAAGGTACTTCTGGGAACCCAAGAAAGACATGAACGCGCCCTCCCTACACACGATAGAGACCTCAGTTCCAACCCATCAATACATCAAATTATTTTCCAAGACAGTACAAGGCAAACAGGCAGCAGTTTCATGATTCCTCTAAATACCGAGAAAAGGAAGTTATCTACTGATAACGAAAATCACAACTCTTTAACTGGTTACTCCAGCATCCCCATTTCATGGCTGGGGAATTGTAATGTATCCCCCAAGAAACCGTATTTTAGGCTAAACTCACCTGGAATTTCTTTGCCTGAAATTTTAAAAACATTTACTTGGTGATTTCCAAAAGTCAATTTTAAATACCCCATTGCTTGCATATACTCTGAATCATAAAATTCACTCTATCTAGAACTTTACCTCAGACCCAGCATTATGAATTGAAATTTAAGTGTGAGGTTCCAGGAACCTTCCAGTAGCTTTTACTGCCCAGGACCATCACACTAGATACAGCGACGCCAACCTCAGGGCTGCAGCAAAACTGTGCCCTCCAGCAAGTACCACAGCGTCTGAGGGGGAGCCGGCCACGTGGAGACGTGACCACACTCTGTGACCAGTTTTTAAAGCATGCCAGTATCTTCACAGATTTTCCCCAAACACGTGACAAAAAACAAATTTCTAAGGGCCTCCCCTATTACTTTGATTGGAATATTCTACTTCCTTATTTTTTCCCACCAAGGCGTTCCCATCATCACCCACCTACTGTACAGTATCTTCAAATCTGCCTAGATCAAAGCTCTTTCCTCCGAACCCCTCAGGATTTGTCCTTCTCCTATTTACAGCATCAGGACTCTGCTATTTCTCCTTTTATGTCCACACCATTCTCTGAACCATCCTCAGCTAAGCCACCTGGCTGTTTCCCTTGACCGTGTGGGGTTTTCCAAGTCGCCATAATGTATTTCCTGGTCACATTTCTGATTTCATTTTGAAAACCCCTGAACACAATACTCTGGAGGAGGCCTATACTGGATTCAGAAAGATGAACCAGTCCCCAACTCCAAATAGGGTTATCATGTGAGTTTGCTACCAGCGCACCCCACCCCCGCCACCGACAGCGCAGAAGTTAATTTTCCTGCCTCCCACCCCAGACACTAGTCAACCCTGTCCTCCTTTAAGGTAAGTCTAGTTCAGTACCTATTTTTAAAAATGCTAGGAGGCACAAAAGCCATCTCTTTCCTAAAAGGGCACCTTCTACTCGAGGCTGTGGCGTTCTATGATAAAGCAACACAGCCTGAAGAAGAATGAATGCCAACACCAGATAAGGGAGACAGGTGTGCATCACATCAAAATGCTAAGAAATACACTTTTCCAGGTATAACGTTTGCATTTTACATACCTGGTATGTCCAAACCGGAAAATAAACACTTGTGCAAAACAAAGCTAGAAGAAAATAAATTACAGCTTAAATTCCATCTTCCTGTCCCTTTTTCTCTACCTTAAGTCACCTTCTTTTCCAGGGGAGAGCTGGGGGTTTGCCAGTACCAGTGAGTGCCAGGAAGCCACAAACAGGCCAGTCTGTTGGGCCACAGACGTTCCCACTGCGGACCACAGCGGGGCAGACCATTTTTCAAGACAGACAGATGTGAAGCCAGAAGCGGACATCTTTGGTTTCTTGCTTGGACTGGGAAGCACTGGGAGGCTGGCTTGTAAGAGTCTCCTAGCCCAGACCAGGTCTCCTGGGGCCCTCATTCCATGGGCTGGCTCTCTCTCTACACAGAGCTGCTCCAAGATCCACACAAGGCAGAGAAGGGCAGCAGTCTCTGCCCTGCAGGGCCTCAGATGTGATTCTGCCCTAGGGCTGCCCCCAGGCAGCCCCGCCCATTTAAAAAAAAAAAAAAAGAGCTGGAGCTTCCAGTTTCCCCCCCAACAGGGAGGCCCATCACCCTTGTTTTGTGCTTCTCACCTGCCCAAAGTTGGGGGGAGGGGCTGAATATCCACAGACATCAGCTGTTCATGGTCTCATCTTTAACGCACGGTTATTTTGGTGGCTTAAGGAGACCGGTGCTAAGCATAATTGCACCTCTTGGAGCAGGCAGCCAAGCAGCACAGAGGCGCTAATGCATCATGTTGGGACCTTCTAATGAACCCCATTACTCAGAAGGCAGCACTGCCACATGCAGTGAGTCACCAGCAGGCACTGGGCTTTGCAGGGTTCCCTGTGACCTGTCCACACTCACATCCCAGGTCCCAGAGTGGCCGTCCGGTTCCTGTTTCTCTGCAAAGTGCAACACGGGAGAGGACGTGAACAGAATCTAAAATAATTGCCAGTGTTTTTACAAGTTGCATCTGTTTACCTTTATCCTTTTCCCCCCACTTCATACTCCCGCTGACCGCCCCCCCACCAAAAAGCCCCCTGTGAAACAGCTTCACCAGTCCATCTGTTTTCCTTTCAGAAAACACTTAAAAAATAATGAAACGTATATGATACCCTGCTTTCTTCATCAGATTAGACTTCTAAAAACCAATGTAACAGTTTGCATAAGTATATTTCATTTTGTGCAAATCTTACTAAAATAAGGCTGTTTCCAGTGTTTAGGTAGTGATACACGGATTAAACAAAGCTCTCAAGCAATAAGAAAGTCTCCCCGCATTCCAAATTCTCTGCAACTCCATCTGACTTCCCAGCAGAGAGCTGAGACCAGTGGGTTTGCCCGCACCATAAGGCAACGTGTTGGGCAGAGTGCAAACCTTGGAAGGAAAATGCAAAGGGACGGAAGCTATGTGTTTGTGTGATGGAGGCAAGAGGGGCTCCATCTTTATTCTTCCCTTTTATAAAATGGAGCCCAGATACAGAAGGCAACGGAGATGGACCGTCTTCCCTGCTGTTGAAGAGCTTATTAGCCTTCTGACATGGGGTACTTCCAGAAGCTACCAATCCCCAGTTTTTGCTTAGTGTGATCTGAGCTGCAAAAGGAGTGACTCACCGGGATGGGAGGATAACAACTGAAAATTTTGAAGGGGAAGAAAGAAAACCTGCCAAAGGAGCCACCAGCTGATGAGACTGACATTCTACAGAAGGTGGAAAGACCCGGCTAGAGAGAGAGGAGGTAGACAGAAAATCACCCTCCCCACAAATCAAGTATTGTCAGGAAATATCAAAGTAGAAATTTCTGTAAGCAGCTTTGCATTTAACATTCAGTCAAGACACTAAAACCTTAAAAAACAAGAACCTCTATTTAAAAAAAAAGCTAACAACAGGAGTCCTCAAAGTCACCCAGGATCTTGTAGCACAGAATGGAGTGTTCCTGGGCCAAGGCAGCTAGTTCCTTGAGGAACTCAGGGAAGAGGGCAGCGGCCAGCATGGTGTTCCTCACTGGCAGGGGCAGGCTTGGGGGCACCCCAGCCACCTTGGCTCTGTTTGTCAGGAAGGGCTGAAGCACTCTTGGGGGACCATCCAAAAGGTTCTTGCCGATTCCTGTCCTGGAAGCATCCTGAATGGGATCTGAAACCAAAGAGAAAACGGACATGGTGATGCTCCCTGGTCCTTTAGGCCTGCCCTCTCCAGTGAAGTTGGGGGTTGGGGGGCTGGTGCGCTGTCTGGTAGTGGCTTCGGTCCCTGTCACTCAAGTCTCAAGACACAGCCCTAGAGTGCGCATCCCATCCACCCTGCAGCACACACACTTGCAGATAGCCTCCAGTATGGGGAATGTGATTGATGCAAGAGACTCATCCCGAATCCTGTGCAAGGGATCCTTCGTACGGGAATTGTGGCAGGAAAATAGGCTGATTGGGAACCTTCCATGCCCAGGTCACGGCGAAGGGAAAACATGTTGTCACTGCATCAACCGGAGGAAGACTTAGCTCACTACATGTCACTGGGGGAGTCCCGACGCTCTACCTGCTCTTGCCAACCTCCTGGTACTGGGCGGGGGGGCGGGGGTGGGTGGGGACCATCCTACCATTACCCGTCAAGCCCTAATCACACAGCACAGCTGTCCGAGACAAGCTGGGTGGAGGAAGCCTCTGGGAGCTCTCCGCAGCTCAGGCCCGAGGTCACCCTCAGGACCCCGGTTTCTCGAGGCCAGGACCTCCAGGCCTTTTTGGAGGAGAGAATGGAAAAAGCCTTTTAAAGGTTGGAAATAACGGAAAGGAGGTTGGGTGCTGGTAAGACTAACCAGACCGGGAACTTTGCATAACTGTGGGCATCTATCTAGTGGCAGCACGTGGCTTGGAAGCCTCCGTTTAAGAAAAGTTTCCAGGGGTTTCCATCTCAGTTTCAGTAACCCGGGTCTGAGATGAGATGAGCCCAAACTTGAATGTATTCAGATGACTTGCATTTCCATATCAAATCAGTTTTACTAATTAAAATGGTTCAACTTTCCGACTCCTTAATTCTTAAATATCTTCAGCGCTTCATATATTTATAGGAATTATTTATGCCTCCTTCTGCCCCTATTCAAACAGTCTCACCACTCTTTATAAATCATTACATTCAAGTTCTTCATTATTTTGGCTGCTTTTTAGAATTCAGTCCTATTTTTCAACACTCTGAGAAGAGTGTTGCTTAACTACAGTACTAAAAATTCTTGACATTTATAGTACTTTCCACATCTCACTCCTATAGTCTTTAGTGTTAAAAAAAAAAAAAACTCTTCTGCTTTACTGCTTTAAATATCTTTTAGATTAAAGTTTATCACAGTTCATGCCATAAAAAACTGGAAGAGTTCCTGAGAATCGGTCTGCTGCTACCTTTTAGCGGAAACCCACAACACGTCCCGACCACAGAGGACAAAAGTGTTAATGCCACCGATGTACACTGCCCACCTTGGAGACCACCACCTTCGTACCCCCTTGCCAGCCCCCAGCACCGCAGCTCTTCAAAGGGCCCAGCAAAGTTCACAAAGGAAGCCGGCCTGGAGAACAGCGCACAGTGGGACTCATGGGCAGTAGTTCCAGGCCAGGATTCCACTCATGGAATTACCTCCCCCGTATCTCTGCACCTCTACAGCTTACTGGCGGTGGCTAAGAAGGGCACAGACTCCTCTGCTCACTGGCTGAGCAACAGTAGAGAGGATGCTTTACCTCTCTGTATTTTGATGTCCTCAGGTGTCAAAAGCTCACAGAGTTGCTTTAAGGATTCAATGAGTCAATAAGCAACTCAACACCAAAAACACAAATAATCCAATTAAATGTTGGCAGAAGACCTGAAATAACGAGACCATGATGAACTATCACTTTATACCTGTCAACATGGCTAGACTCAAACAGATGAGAAGTAACAAGTGTTGGTGAGGATGTGGAGAAAAAGGAACCCTTGTGCACTGTTGGTGAGAAGGCAAACTGGTGCAGCCACTGTGGGAAATAGTATGGAGCTTGCCAAAAATAGAAATGCCATATGATCCAGTAAGTCCACTTTGGGGTATTTATTCAAAGAAAACAAAAACACTAACTTGAAAAGATATGTGCACCCGTATGTTCACTACAGCATTATTTACAATAGCCAAGATATAGAAATTAACCTAAATGTCCACTGATGGATGAATGAATAAAGGTGTAGTGTGAGTAGTGCCCGGGAGGCTCATTTGGTTAAACGACTGCCTTCAACTCAGGTCATGATCCTAGATCCTGGGATCAAGTCCCGCATCAGGTTCCCTGCCCAGTGGGGAGTCTGCTTCTCCCTCTGCCTGCTGCTTCCCCTGCTTATGCGCTTGCTCCCTCTGACAAATAGTAAAATCTATAAAAAATAAAAAATAAAAAAATTAAAAATAAAGGTGTTTTGTGTGTGTGTGTGTGTGTGTGTGTGTGTACACAATGGATTATTAGCCATAAAAAAGAATGAGTTCTTGCCATTTGCCACAACAGGGATGAACCTAGAGGGTATTATGAAGTAAGTTAGAAAAAGACAAATGCCATATGATTTCACTTATATGTGAAAGTTAAGAAACAAAATGAACAAAGAAAAACAGACAAAACAGACTCTCAAACACAGAGAACAAACTGGTGGTAGCCTGGAGAGAGATGGTGGGGGGCTAGGGGAAATAGATGAAGGGGATTAAAGGGTACACACTTCTGTACCCCTTATATAACTATAACTTCTGTTATAAAATAAAGAAGTCACAGAGATGAAAAGTAAAGCATGGGAGTACAGTTAATAACACTGTAATAATGGGTGGTAACAGACGGGGACTAGATGTCCCACAGTGAGCGCTGAGGAATGCACAGAGTACACGTAAAACTAACATAACATTATATGTTAATTATGCCTCAATAAACGAACAAAAAAAGAGGTTAAAAAGAAAAACCACAATGAGTCAATAGGTGTAACATACACAGGGGCCTCTTAATGGGTCATCCATCAACCATTAACAATTCACCTGCCACTGACTTCACAGAGACTTCCTGTTTCCTGTCCCACAGGCCGTCCCCTGCACTGCTGGCCTCACGCTGCATTTTATTAACCAGCTAAGGCCTGCATTGCCTCTAGCCTTGTGTTCTTGGGTTTTCAGTCCTCTACCAGACTCTTAGATTTGTGAGAGCTGTGCCCATAGGTGATGTGTCCTTCACGGCCCCAGCACGCTTCCTTATTCATAGTAGAAGCTAATAAACATTCACTGAGTGAATGAGGGGAGGAACTGGCCAATACATCAGGTCTTCCTTCCAACTAATCTCCCCGGAGCTGGTTCATATGCCTCATCTCCATCTTCTCTTTCACATTCACTCCTCTTTTTCCCCTCAAAAAGGGTTTTTGTGGCTCATTATCTAGCTTGATCATGAATTCAAAAAACTGTCATCACTTAAAAAAAAAAGTGTCATTACTAAGGCTCATTTACCCACTTGAATCCAAGAATCAAAACTGTCTTCACTACTGAAGGCAAGAACATGCACAGTGAGGACTTGCAGGGAGCCCCTTACCGAGGGCTGTGCGATGAGCATAGGAGTGGCCTCTCCATGGGTCACAGAGCGCCACCAAGCTCAGCAGCAAGGAGACCCGAGTCATGGATTTCACCTACCAGGCACCTAGCTGATCATACAACGTCTCCATTTCCTCTTCTGTAAAAATGGAAATACCACCCACCTGACCTCCCCCCCCAGAACCAGAGATCTGAAAGGACACTGAAAAGAACTAAATACAAGTAAATACCACGTCTGAGATTTGGAAAGTATTCGAGGGGAAGTGGCTGAGCCCAGAGATCAGCAATCTCAAGGATGACAACGTGACAGCCGGCACTGGAAGTCTTCCCACCCTGGAGCAGGGGACACGGGGACCTGTACTTCTGTTTGAAGCATTAGTTAGGAAGCTCATTTTTCCCCAGGGCTGCCAGGAGCCCAAGAGAACGCAGGACCCAGGGTACAAAGCAGATCTGGCTGTGGGCGCCCAGGGTTCCACCCATCCTAACAGGGTTCAACAAGCACAGACAAGCACCTGAAGGAAAAAGCAGGAAGAAGGGAAGTAGGAATAAATGTCCAAATCAGGAGTTGTTTTCTCAAATGTTGCCCTGGGTCTGAAAAGCTGCAACAGAGGGTTCTCAAGACGAATACTAGCAAGATTTCAAAATGAGGCAAGAAATCCAGTTGGTACTCATCCTCCATCCACAGTGTTAGAGCCCACAGCTCCCCAACAGTGCGAACCCCAATATCTGGCCCATTACCAGAACTCTCAAACACGCTCCAGGATTCAACTTGTAAGGACCTATTTTATATTTTTATTTTAGCCAGAGGCTTCCACTGAGGTTAAACAATAACTTTGTTGTTTAACCCTTAAACTGTCCCTGCTCCCCTTCCCTTTAAGTCCCCAGGGGACTTAAAAACAAGTCCCGGAAACCAGCTCCAGGTGTGGAGGCCAAGAAAAACTAGGCTGTACCCACCTCGAGTCTAGCCCTGACATAAGTACAGCCATCTTGGCAAAGCAAAACCTGGCACCTTGCTCTGTAAAAGTGGGTTAGCATAAGAATGGCCATCCTGAAGGCGGGGAAGCCATTTTACTGAGCATCCCTAACCAGCCCACATGATGCAGGTAACTTGAGATAAGAGAAAGTAGGTAAAACCTAAGAAACAACTTAATCATATACCACCAGGGTGGTTAGGCGATGGCGCCACAGGGACCAGATGTTAAAGAAAACAAATAGTTAACTTGCAGAGATCACAATCCTGCAAGACAGGAGTCTCCCTTGGTTTGCAAATGTCCTGGTGATTTACAACAAAAAGGCTATATCTTCAATGGCCCAATTTCCAGAGACAAATGGCTCAGTTCCTCAAGGCCTAAGGTCGCCCCCCCACCCACCATAAAACTGAGAGAGGCTGAGGCGAAGGAAATGTAAATAAAGTTAAATTTCTTCTAAACCTAAATCTCATTTAACCGCCAGGATGGCGCCAGGTTGACGCCAGGGTGGCAAAAGGTTAAACAAAGTTAAACTGTCAAAGTGGGGTGCAAGATATGTATGTAGCTATGGAAAAGTGCCTTGAAAATGCTATATAAACCCTTGGCTTTGAGTGCTCGGGGTCCTTGTTGAAACCCGCTGTGCCGGGCAGATACTTGGACCCCAGCTAGCTGGAAATAAACCTCACTGTGCCACTCTGGGAATCTGAACGAAGCTGGAAGTTTCACCTGAAGGTAAAGGAAAGTCTTCTTCCCCGAGGGAAGCTTCTCACAAGTCAGAGCCCCCTGAACGTCACAGACCTTAGGAAGCGTCAACCCTTGGCTGACTAATTTGATAACCACATGTGGCACGAATGAGTTCACGTTCCCCTGGGCACCTACCTGGCAGCTACTGTCATGAGACCACTGGAAGCCAGGAGAGAGCACCAAGTGTGAGCAATCCCCACCACACCTCACCCCTTTACCACTCACCCAGAATGCATGCGTCAAGGAGAGCCTGAGAAGCCGGTAGGCATCTGTGCCCTCAGCTCTGCACATTGGGCAGGCCACTCTCAGGCACTTGAGCTTTGTGCTCCCGGCTGACTACTCCAGGCCTCTAATTTCAGCTGCCTTATCCGAAAATGAAGCCAAGAGTACCTTCCTGGCCCACTCCACAGTGCGATTTGAAAATAAAACTGTCTGGGGAAGCACTTAACAAATTGAAAATTACGAATGAACAATAGCAGACACGGGGTGTAATATAAGGAGACTCGTGTCATCTTCTGTCCACCAACTGCAAAAATGGCCACAATTCTTACGGTTCTTCCCATCGAGAGGCAGAAGGTTTGCTCCATTCTTGAACCTGGGCTCACCCAATGACCTGCCTTGGCCGAAAGAATGCAGCAAATTTGACCATGTTTGGGTCCCAAGACAGAGCCTCAGAAGATTTTGTACACTCCTGCTCTGGCCCTTGCAACCCTACAGCCACGATGTCGACGAGCCCTGTCTAACCTCGTGGATGAGGAGAAGTACAGACCTCCACCCCCACCATCCCCATCAGCCCAGCCAGCTACCACCCCTGTGAGTGGGGCCATCCCAGACACCCAGCCACCCACCAAAGGCAACACACATAAGTACAGCCAAAACCCGCCAAGCCCCCCCGCCCCGATCAGAACCCCCAGGTCACCATACGCACAGACTCAGGAGCCCCATAAATAGCGTCCTTTAAAGCCACTGAGTTGTTGCCCTGGTTTGTTACGCATGAAAGCTAACTCCCCCAGGGTGAGTGACCGCAGCAAGCCCCGGAATCAAGAGGAACATGGCTAACACACCAGCCATCCATGAGCTAGGAGAAGCCACATGGGGCCCACAGTCCACTTTTCCACGGAGATGTGGGGGCTCCTCCCCCTCCGTGAATGGTCTGGCTTGGTCTGCTCTTCTCCAGGGGCCCGAATCTTAAAGGCTGCCCCCTCATCTTCCAGTTGGCCGAGGCCCACCTTCCTTTCAAGATTTTCCTTGCAATGCCCTGAAGGCTCTTCACAGCCAGAAAGGACTGGAGATGGAAAATAAATCCTTCATTTAAAAGTCAAGGAACAGGAGGACCCAGGGAGGCCCAGTGACCAAGATCAAACAGCTGCAGACAAGGTCAAGAGACAAGGTCAAGCCACTAGAGTTCTGGAATCTTTTCAGCTTCCCCTATAGATTTAAAACTGGCCCCAAGTTACGTTCTGCTTCTCACTCTCAATCTTGTTTCTGATCACATGCCTTTAGCCTGGGACCCAGAGCCCCACAGTCCCCACTGTTCACCTGCCACAAGGCTGGTGTGTCTGTGCGGGGACAAGCAAAAGCCAGCCCAATACCAGGCATTTCTAGTTTGCCCTCAATTTGGCTTAAGCTGAGGGTCAGAAGACAACTAGGCACCAAATCCGCCCAGCCAGCACTTAACTGAGGCAAACCAGAGGTGCCCCCGGCCTGGCCAGCCCGCAGGACAGCTTCAGGCTCTCTGCTTGGCACCAACCACCACTCTCCCCCAGCCGGGCCCTCTAGAGCTGACAGAAAGGCGCTCTGGGAAATTATAAGCTGAGCATAAACTTGACTTCTCCCAAGTCCAGGTGAATAGTTTCTCCCTTCTAGAGCCCTCAAGCACATTTATTTGGGGCCTGAGAGTCTTAAAACATAATAAAGAGAACTGATGCCCTCCTCAGGGTAGGATCGGCCAAAATATGGTTCTGAGTGTACCCATAATGCCTCTTGCTGGCCCACATGTGCCAAGGTCTTTATTCCAGCCCAGCAACAGCGCACAGCACTCCTTCCCCAACCCACCGTTGGGGCGGGAGACCAAAGGCCTATGAAGCCCTCCCGGCAGGAGCAGGCCAGCTGCATGCAGAGGGATCTCTCTCGAGGTGGAAGGACACTTGGGGGAAGCCCCTCGCTGTCGGGTAAACAGGAAAACGTATTTAGAGGCTCTGAAGGCCCAGGAGCCAGCACGGCGTCTGCGGACCCCAATCAGGAAGGAGGCTGGGGACGTGGAGGAAGAGCTGGAGACCCAGGGGAGCCCCCTGGCTTACCTTTGGTTAGCGACTCGGGGGTCAAGTCAGACATGTCCACTCGGAAGAGCAGGTACTGCTGGGCTTGTATGAGGAGCCCTGGGAAGTCTCTCTCCACAGAAGCAAACTGCTCGATCTTGTTTTTCACCGATGCGAGGACCTGTCACACACGACACTTAATGATGTCAATACTGCACAGTGGAATTCCAGCCTCGCTTCCCATGCATCCCTCAGGGGCAGCCCTCGCCACAGGAACTTTTAGGATATTAGGCGTTTGCTTGCTTTTAACGGCCTGGGTGTTCGTGGTGAGGCACCCTCGAAACCTCAGACTCAACAGGGCTTTGCAATCTGTCTCGAATAATTGACACAACTGGCATACGAGGATGGGGAAGGAGAGCAAATGAAGTAGAACAGGAGGCAAGTGAGAAACAGCCCGACGCCGGAGGACAAGAGGGAGGCACCCCGCCCACGCGCCCCAGTGACGCCGACAGGGGTGGGTGTGGGCTCGGCGACCTACCTGGTAGAGAGAACGCACGCTCGGCTGGAAGACCATGTTGGTGTTGAGCAGAAAGGAGCGCAGGAGCGGCTGGGGGTAGCTGGCCAGCTGCGTGATGATCCCGATGAGCAGCAAATTAACATGGAGAGAGTTCTCCAGCATGTTCTCCAGCTTCGACAGGACCACGCTGATGAAGGGGCCTGAGGGAAGAGCGCACAGCCTCAGGGCTGGCCTGGCCCCGGGGACATCTTGCCTCCGCAGCCAAGGAGCCGCTTGGCCAGCTCCCAACCGTGGGCCTGCCGTGTGCAAATTAGACCCAGCCAACGAGGGGGCACCCCAGCGTGTCCCGATGCAACCCGGAACCCAGAACAAACCACCCCCAGCAAGAGAAAGCAGACACACACGCATGGGAGCTGCTAGTTTCACTCCATGAGCAGCTCAGATACTTGGGAAATTATCACAACCCTTGACAAAGGCCAGAGGACAAGTAATTTCATTTTAGAAATTAAAACCTACTTCTCCGTCCTGCTGCTGGCTTTCCGGGGAATGCCAAACTCAAAGACACGGTGCTCCGCACCTCAGGAGGGCACGTACTGGGTGCTGTGTGTATGTACATTTTAGTAACAGAAAAAGCCTTTATGTTAGTAAATAATACCAAACACATAGAACTATGGTACAAAACAGCAGCACCATAAACAGTACGCCATTGGCAGGGACTGTCTGTCCCCAGTGAGTACCAGGAGAAAGATTCTGTCTCATCAAATATCACAAGGCAGAAGAATGGGAGGAAGGGACAAGCCAGGGCTGAACGAGGCCTGGGCCGTAACTTTACTCACTTTCAGAAGGTAAAGTTCGAGGTGTCACAGGTTCCTCAAGAAAGAAAAGCTATAGGACTACAAAAGCCACTCATAAATAATTAGGCAAAAAGGAGCTTTGATCAATTTGGATCACTAGAAAATTAATATGCTTTATGTTGGAATTCATTGAAGACAGTGAAAAATCAAAAAAATTAATCTGGCATTAACAAATGACTTGAAGACGTTTTCCATTTTTACCATAAAAGTGATCCATTAAACAAAATGAAGGAGTATTCTGTATTTCCCCCAGCAGAGCTATGGATGGTGCCTGGAAACCATGGCATATTTCTAAGAAAAGCACATTCCCTCTTGATGAATAAATGTGCCTTGTGAAGATGTCACCAACATTAATACGAGTTTAACAAAAACATACTTCACCACAAGATGCTTCATTCGGAAGCCTTGGTGGTGTGAGAGAGTAAAACCCTTTATAAGAAAACAGAAGACATCCTCAAGGAACAGCAACACCAATCTTAAACCCTTACCCGTCCAAGCAAGTAACAGACAAGGGAAAGACTCCCATCGATGCCGTGACAGGGGGTGTTTCTGTAGGGGACTCGAACAAAAAAGGGACCAGCCCCTTGTGTGTTTACATTAGCCTCAACTTCCCCACCTCTGGGACGGGACAGAGCTCCTGGGTCCCATCACACAACACGGGTGTTCAGTGACCTCTTCAAATAGAGAGCCTTGGCAGAGGCCTTGCTCACAGAACACAGCTGGGAGGCTCTGTCTTTGCAAGCAACTTCATGGGGCTTCAGCAAAACCCCCAGAAATGTCACTGGTAACTCTTCTTAGGACATCACAATTCAAGCTGGCCAGATAGATGGACAGGGAGAAGGTGGCTGCCCTCCTCTAGTCGGCCCAGCCTTTCCTGTCTTATCCCTACCCCCACCCCCCTTACCCCACCCCGACGCCCCTGCAGTCCCTGGCTCAGGCTCTGTTTCCCTCCAGAGGGAGCAAGGATGGGTGACCTAAGTCATTTCAGGTGGGCAGAATCTCCCATAAACACGTCTTTGACGTGAGCCCACAACTGCCCTCCCACGGCCCAATGCCACCCTTGGCCTACGGGGCCACCCTGCTCACAGGAAGGTGGCTGAGTGTACAGGGCCAGGACAGACCAGCTCCAGTCTGCCGCTCCTTCCGGGGGGACATCCACCCAGCCCCCTGTGGAGAGTGAATGGCAACACCAGCTCCCTTGCACAACAGATCATTAGGTCAAGGCCAGCGACTGTCATAATGCACTAATGACATTAATTACAATTTTTTACCATGTGCAATAAGAAACATACGTGGAACCCTTTTAGTTTCCCCTTTTAGTCTCAGTTGATTTCTAGCACTTCAAAAAAAAAACTGCTTAGCAACAAACAGTTGCTAGGGGAAACTCATAAGCAGCTGAAAATCAGAAAAAACTCAGATACAACTCAGAAAGCCACAGCTGTGTTCGGGGCTGTACAGCCCATTTCTCCTCCTTCTCCTCTTCTAGGACAAGCAGACTCCCCACCCTGTGTGTGTGTGTGTGTGTGTGTGTGTGTGTGTGTGTCTGTCTGTCTGTCCTGGTTGGTTTGGGGGTTTTACCTGACCAAATGACAACACTCTCCCCACACTGCTCTGCCTCTTGCATTCCCTCTAGCGCGGAGCAACCTGTCACCTTCATCTCAAGGCCACAAGCTATTTGGTTGCCTTGGGTACATTAGTCAAATGGTCTCCTCCTGGTGGACATGTGGGTTGTTTCCAATCTTTTTCTATCATAAACAACACTGCAGTGAACATCTTTGTGCATATGTCTTGGCACACAGGTGTGCATACAGCCCGTGACACGTTCCCAGGAACAAAGCACTAGGGCATTCTGAATTCTGATCCAGTGATAAACGTCTCCCACCTGCTCTTCTGACAGCACCTCACCCCCTGCAGTGAGCTCCAGGTGGCCTTGCACACACAGACCAGTCTCGTCACTTGTCAACTGCAACACTCCCAGGCCACACACAGCCCGTTACTCAGCTTAGCCCAAAGACCTCCCCACCGCCAGCCCCATCTCCCTTCCAGAGCTTTCTGGCTTCCCGTCTCAAACACCTCACTGCCTCACCTGACACACCCATGCACACATGGCCAGGCTCCTTCATCTTCTGACCCTTGTCTCCTCTGCCCAGGGCCATCCTTCCCGGCCATTTTTACCTGGCAGCTCCTGTCCCCCGTTTGTGCCCCTTCTCCGGGAAGTCTTTCCCATTCCCCCCACTCGGGGCTCCCCTAGAGCGTGGCAGACAATCACTAATAATGCATTTCTAAGTGAGTACAGTTCTTTGTCAATGCCTCCTCTGAAAGCCTGGGAATTCCTTCATTTTTCTGTCTTTAGCATCTTGCCCAGAACTTGCCAAGTATTAGGAGATAAATCAAATGTTACTGAATGCACAGATAAAGTAATTAGATAAATGAAATGGAATGCTTTGATTTTGCTGAGCAGTGAATTCATTTCAGGGGAAATCAGGATCCCATGGAGGGATGGAAGTTAAGCCTGCTGCTACAGCACACTCGGAAGTTGCAAAACTACAAAATTAGGAGGAAAGATGTTTTCCTAAAGTTGTGTATGAATTTCAAAGGAGAAAAAAAAAAGCAGTTTTAGTTAAAATTACTTCTATGTATCAAAAACCATTCCATTGTGTTGGTTCTCCTGTGTATCCTATACAAAATATTGGTATTATTTAATAAGGTGTTGTATTAGCTTTTACTTCTTGCCCTACGCTAGACATTATTTCCTCAATTTACATATTTCCCAGGGCTGAAGCTCCTTTCTAAGAAAGCTGGGATTTCCTGGCATCTCCTTCCGGGAGAGCAACTGCAAAGTGGGGATGTCCACCTGGTCAGAGTCAAGAGGGCAGGCCCCAGGCAAAATGGGGGGACTAGTGCCGCTTTCCCCCACACTAAGCTCTCTGCCCCTCCTTCAGGCAGCCAGGGCCCTCCTGGCCCCTCCCCTCCCCTTCCCCCACCACCTGGGAAAACTGAGATTATCTAAACCTTCTTACTATGACGGACTGACTGGTTGGATTTTAATTAAAACCCATTCACACTGAAATGTTACCTCAACTAGAACCTCAAGCCTTTTCATTGTGGGATTAAAAGCTTTCTCCCTCTTTAAATAAATTGTCAGGCACCGGTAAATAGATGAATAAATCCTGGAGGAGGGGCAAGAGCTACTTGAAATCACATTAAGCCTTCCGGGGCGGACCAGAAGATAACGTGGTTTCTCCTCTTTGGGGTGACCCAAGCAGGTGGAGCCTAGTACAGACTCACCCAGCTGCTGGCTGCCTGCCAGGGAAGGGCAAGCCTTAGCGGAGGTGGCGAGGGGAATAACAACACACACACACTCCTGCGCCCACAAGCCCATTTCGGCCCCACAGGAGCAATCGGAGGGTTCAGGACCTCACAGCTGCAAGTGCTAGAGCCAGGATCCCCCCACAGGCCCGACTCCAAGGTCACGGCCCGTCCCTCTGTGAGGTCAGCTCCTAATGGGACCTCTCCTCGCTGCCTGAACACTGTTCAGGGGTCCCGCCCCAGCCTTCCCTGTGTTTGATAAACACTCCCCTCCAGTTCCCTCTGGGAGGCGGATTCGGGTTTTACTAGCTACTATTTCAGGAAGTTTTCTATCAATTCCTCAACTCGATCCACTTATCCTGTCCTAGGCCCTCGGCTCTCATATGATTGCTCCTTGTTGTTGGGCGTGTGTCACTGGACATGCCCATTCCCCCCCCGAGTTAAAGTGGTCTAGTCTGCTTATTTTTGGGGGAAAGGTCCTGTGATGATCCGAAATGAGCTCCGAAGCAAAGGTGTAATTAATGCCCATGGTCTCTGATGTGTGTACCCAGCCACATTTACTCAGCAGGTGCAGAGAACGGAGTGCGGAGAACAACCCAACCCCGCACCTTCATGCAGCATACATTCTCGTGAGGGAAACCACCATCACTTCTTCAATACATCTAAAAACACACGCTGTGGACAAAAAGTAATTAAACTAAAGAAAATGAGGCTATTAAATAATGAGACTGGATTTTTTGGTGTGGTTTCATCGGTCCCCTTACTTTATCACACAAGTATCATGGGAAGTAGTTACTCGACTGTGTAATATATCCTCTGATTGGCTGTGGTGGGGGGGGGCGGGACTGCTAGAACGACAGGATAAAATAAACTGAAAAACGAAACCACCCCTCTCTGCTCTTCACGGAAATACTTGGAACCCTCTGTTAAGAAAACTGATAATGCTCCTTCCCTCCCCATACTTCCCTTTCCTGTCACGATACCTACACATATTTTCAAAAGCAGAACTCAGAAAGCAATTCGAGATCATCACCTGTGAATGGGGTGCTCTGAGTCCTCACAGGACGGTGACTGGCAAAGGCAGGCTCATCTCTCGCCCCAAATGGGGATGGCACGGTATCCGTGGTGGGGGTTTCTGCTATAAAAGAATCAAAGTCGTCCTCTTCCTCTTCCAGGGCCTTCTTCCCCTCTTCTGCTTCCTCCTTTTCTCCTTCCCTCTCTTCTTCCTTCCCCTTTTGCTCTTTGGAGAGATTCAAGAGATCAGGGGAGGGGAACTTCTGTTCTATCGAGCCCTCAGTGCCAGAATCCAGTTCCTTAATGATTTGGTCATACTGGGCAATGAAATCGTCAGCCCCCGGGTTCACCTCCATCGGGTCTGAATTGTGTTCCGTCTCGGAGAGGGGAGGCGCTGACTCGGAGTTCAATTCTAGGGCTGTCTCAGGCTCGTCTTCTTGTTTCGTTTCCTCGGATACATTTTGAAACGGGTCTGAACTGTCCCTATTCTGTTCCTCCTCTGAGTCTGTTTCTGACTGAGCACAGGGCAGGGGGCCGTTGCTCAGGGTGGGGGCCCGATCGTCAGTCTGGGCTGGGCTGGAGGGCCTTGCGCTCCCCTCTTGGGAATCCCTCGTTTCCTCAGCATCCTTCTCGGCACACAGCCTGTACACCATCACATCATCCTGAAAGTCAGACTCCTCGATGTAGGACCCTTTGAAGAGCAGGATGGCGTTCTTCTTCATCTCCTGGATGTGTTTGGGGGGATCGACAGGTGCCGGCGGGCCTGAATTCTCCAGATCATCGAAAGGCCCAGGAGAACCCACGTCTGCTCCCGAGGAGATGCCCGTGTCGTAGCTATCATCCCACTCCAGTTCTGTCTGGCTCTTGTCCTTTCTTGGAGCCAGCGCGGGGCCGGTCTTCCTGGGGAGCTGCTGCGGGAGCCGGAACACGGGATAGGTAGGGGTGAGAGCACTGTCCTCTGTCAGACCCTGGCAAAAGGTCTCAGGGTCGGGAGAGTCTCCGTCATACAGGGCGGACCAGGCTCGGCAGTCCCTCATGCAGCAGAGGATGTTGGCGTGGGCTTCCCATAGGTACTGCAGGTAGCTGACGTCCAGGGCTTTGCCGTACTCCACGATGCAGGCCGACGGAGAGAATGCCTCAGCCGGTGGCTGCTCGGCGGTCCCTGCCATGGGAGGCACAGACACATCAGAACGAACCCCTCTCTTGCCCTTACAAGAGTTGAGGCAACACAGGCAGGGGACTCAGGTAGGACTCACTCAGGTGCTAAGATTCTGTCTCACCAGCTACTTTAGTTCTAATAATTTCTGATTAAATGATTTCTGAATAATAAAAAAAATTATTTGTTTTTAAGAAAGAACGCTAAGGGGGCGCCTGGGTGGCTCAATTGGTTAAGCTTCCAACTCTTGATTTCAGCTCGGGTCATGATTTCAGGGTCTTGGGATCAAGGTCTGCATTTGCTTGAGATTCTCTCTCTCCCTCATTCTTCTTCTGACCCTCCCCCCATCATGTTCTCTATAAACAAATAAATAATCTAAAAAAAAAAAAAAGAAAGAAAGAAAGAAAGAAAGAACGAACGAACACTGGGAACAGAACCCCTACCTCAGCACAGCCAGAGGAGACCTAGAACTCCACCATTTCTCCTATGGCGGGTGCTTTACCAACACTAACTGCTCCTCCCAACAGCCTTCTATGGCAGATAGCATTGGCCCCATTTACAGACAAAGAAACTGAGGCTCAGAGACAGAAGATCTGTTTGAGGGCAACCTCTGTGCTCACTTCATTCAATGCCGCATGTTTGCAAGCATCTTTGTCACCTAAATCTCTAGGAGGTGGGGCCAGAATTGGAGATGACATGACCTGTCTACCCACCTGCCTATGCAACCATCCATCCATTAGGGCACCCATGCACTGGAAAGCACCCCAAAAGAACGTGGAATTGGGGATCAGAAGACCTATCAGCTGTGAACCCTGGACGGGTCACTTCCTCTGAGTACGTTTTTTCACCTGTAAAATGGAAGCACTACTTTCTTCACAGGATTAAGGAAAGAAGGTGGCCAAAGTTGGGGGCACTCGGCCATTGTCTGCTTAACTTAAATTTCGAATTCTGCAGCAAGGTCAGCCCCAGAATCATTCTTGAAACAACTTTCTTAGTAAATAAAAAAGACATCAATTTTCAAATAGGTTCTAAAAGCTCACTACTGGTGGGAAAATAGAAGATATCTGTACTAGCACCTAAGAGGAAAGTATCTTTAAAATACAACTTGTTCCCCTGTCACATAAATTACTAATTTCCATGACACAGTGTACCTTTATTTAAAGAATCAGTGTGACAACCTTAATTTGTAACAATTACACTGACACCAAACACCCTGATATTTTCTTAGTCAAGGAGCCCACTCTTAAACAAAACATGCTTTATCGGACAGGACGGTACCTGGGTAGACAGGATGACATTGTTTGGGGGGACATCAGAATACAAACTGGAAACACTGGGGTCAGTCCCAGAGCTGGACTCTTTCCTAGCGGTCACAGGTCAGGCAGAACCTCCCTGAACTGAAACAGCCTTCTGACCACTAAGCGTGAACAAATCCCCCTTCGTTACAGCTGCCTGCCTGAGAGACCAGGCTGATCCAGGGGACCAATTAAAGTTTACTTGCATAAGATCAACCGTAGTGGCAAACAGCACAAGTACTATAACTCCTATTTTTAAAAAACAGAATATTTGTGTTATTTTTTTTTAAAGCCCACTGTAGGTTAATCAAATGAATCAGATATTGCTGCCATCTGAAAATTTCTTTTAAGGTTTTATTTATTTAACAGAGAGAGAAAGACAGCAAAAGAGGGAACACAAGTGGGAGAGGGAGAAGCAGACTTCCCGCGGAGCAGGGAGCCAGTCGGATGAAGGGCTCGATCCCAGGGCCATGAGATCATGACCTGTGCCGAAGGCGGACGCTTAATGACTGAGCCACCCAGGCGTCCCTCATCTCACAAATTTTAAGTTTTACAATGATATGTTGTTGGCAGGCAAGCATCCACAAATGAGTCATTTTGGAAATTAAAATAAGGGAAATTAAAATCTTAGCTAGAACCATCTCCACACCCCCACCCCAATTCTGTTTAAAAAGACCTGCTGGTACATGTTTCTGTATCTGTACTCTGAGGAGGCCACCAGGAAGCCCAGTTAAAATAAAAGTCTGGGAACACTGACCCGGGGACTGGTGGGCATCTCAATGCACATTGATTACAAAGTGGCTATAACTCCAGACGCAGAAGAAAACCACCAACCACCCAGGGATTCATAAAAGAAATGGGACCCAGGACATTATACCCTGTCTGCCCAAGGAGACACACACCCTGAGGACGAATGGCACCTGGCATCCTTCCATTCACTAGCCAGGGCCCTTTACCTGCACTATCGTGCGTCCACTTCGACCAGAGAATATAATCCCTCTCCTGGTTGCCAAGCGTCAGGGTGATCCCGCTGGAGCAGCAGACAGGGGTCAGGGCGAGCAGCTTGGCCGCAGACACAGAGTAGCAGTCTCTCTCCTTCACGGCCCACCTCTGGCTCAGCATCATGTGGTTGCAAGGGATCAGGTACCTGGAAGGACAACACGGGCTGCGTTCGGCCTCTGTGATGCCCACTCCCGTCAGGCTAGCCCCAGCCGGGGCCATATTCGTCCCTTCCCCGCTTCCAGCCCAGCCGTCCCACCAGCCTCCAGGGATGGCCCTGTCGCTTAAGACCGGCCAAGGGCTTCTTTCTTCTGGCAGAACCCCCACTCTGCAGAGCACGTCAGGTCCTCCGTGCTGTAACCTCCACGAACCGCCTCCCCTCCTAATGGGTCTAAGCCCAGTGTGAACTTCACCCCTACCATGTTCCTCTTTCCTTCCTCACTAATGCCCTGTCATCGCATGAAGTCCGGCTTCAGTGCCTCCCTCTCCAGGAAGGCCTCTGGGCTTCCTGCTTCAACAGAGCCACGGCCTCCCTCTGCTATACTCACCAGCCTCTACCAACGGGCTGTCACCTAGAGTCATAATCACTTCTGTGTCTGCCTCCTCAGTACAATGTGCTACCAGAGCAAGAACCTCCTTTATTAGTTTGTTTTAGAATCCCAGAAATGGTGGCTTATCGTGGGCACTGAATGACTGCAGTTGCATGAAAAGGCAAAGACCTGCTCCATGGTGCAAACCTCATCTCACAAAATACGGTGACTAATGGTGTTCTGGTCACCGGTTCCAGCATGGGGTTTAGGGAGAGGGGGCAGGGTCTCCCCACACCGACGAGCAAGCAATGCTCCAGCAGGGCATCCTTCAATTCAGCTCAGCTCTGACCTCACCTACCTGGAGACAGCGTCGCATCCCACGGATTAAGGCTTCAGTCCTACAAGATTGTCCCTACCCCTCAACACATACACACTGCAGAAGACAATCGCCAGCCTCATCTGACCAACCCGCTAAAATCAGAGGTTCCGACAACCTCCCTGCAGTGGCTCAGGGATCTCAGAGAAACATTTTATTTCCTGGATCACTGGTTTGTTAGAAAAGGAGAGAACTCAGGAAGAGTCAGAAGGAAGAGATGCACAGCGAAGGGTGTGGGGAAAGGGCTCAGAGCCATGCTTTCTCTGAGTGTTCCCTTCACCCCACAGCTCCATGTGTGCAACAGCCCAGAAGGTTCTGAACCCAATCCTCTTCGATTTTTAGGGAGGCTTCATTACATAGACATGATTGATAAAATCACTGACCACTGGCAGCAGATTTAACCTCCAGTTCCTCTCCCCTGCCCTGGAGGTCAGGGGAGTGGGACTGAGTTCTAACCCTCTGATCACATGGTTCAGTCTCCAAGCAAACCAGCCTCCATCCTTAGATTTGGGTCCTAGTGTTGCCTCATTAACATAACAAACACACCTTTGTTCCTCTCATCCGTAGGAAATTCCAAAGGTTTTAGGAGCTCTGTGCCAGACACAAGATGTAGACCAAATATGTATTAATTATAAATCACATCACAGTGGCCAAGGGCTCACCAAGAATGACTGGGTCCCCTTTAACAAAAACACTTTGAGTTGGTGATCAAAATATTAGTATCACTACAAACCTAGAGACAAAAATATCTGGGCAATGGTTTCTGACTCTTAGAGCACATCAGTAGGCTTCACGGGTAGAATAAAGTTTGCTTAAATGGCTTACTTTCTGAACAGGGAGAAAGACTATCTATCCTGTTTCTTTAAACAAAGATGGAACAAATGGGGTGGAGGCGTCACACCGGAGCCAAGTATCCCGTGAATGTAGAAGCCAATTCCCAAGGACCCGGAGCTCTTCTTTTAACAACTGCAATCTTCAATCAACCAGAATGTTTTTGGTTCTGTTTTTAGCTCTTGAGAAAGAGGCAGTGCAGATGAAAACAAGCCATGATGAAGGATTCGGTGAAAGAGATAAAAGTACACTTTTCAGGGTATATAGTGAGGCCTAAAAACAACTCTCCCACATCTCCTATTGCTCCAACTGAGGAAACCTACAGATATATTAACGGCTGCCCGGCTGCTGGAGCCTGAGTCAAGGGGGAAAAGAGACTGAATTTGTTTTGTGGTACTTTATACTAAAGGTCTTTTTTTTTTTTTAAGATCTTGTTTATTTATTTAAAAGAGATCACAAGTAGCCAGAGAGGCAGAGAGAGAGAGCACGGGGAAGCAGGCTCCCTACTGAGCAGAGAGCACAATGCTGGGCTCAATCCCAGGGCCCTGAGATCATGACCTGAGCTGAATGCAGAGGCTTAACCCACTGAGCCACACAGGTGCCCCTACACTAAAGGTCTTAATAACTCTCGAGGTATGAAATGACAACCTTGCCACTTACCCCTTCTGTTCTCAAAGAACACCAAGCTGTTCACCCAGTGCTCTGCCTGGGGGTCCCCCCATCTCTCCCCCGCACCTGCGGGCACCAGACCCACACACACCGGACACCTCAACTTGCTGTGGCCAAGACGAAGACAGACCCCACCTGTCTACTTTCTCAAGCTAGAGTGCATGGAAATCAAAGGTCATAAAAGCAGAAAGGGAAAGAGGAGAGGGCACTATGGGACAGGGGGCAGGTCTGTGATAATTCTTGGGGTCTTGTATCTGAACACCCACGGAGAAGAAACAGAAGTTGTGGGTGGAAGATAAAGGAGTTCTTCTCACAAGGACCTCTGTGAGCAGGGACACTGGTGACAGAAGGATGCTGAGGAGAGAAGCTTTCTCTTCTCTGTTTGCATGGGCACAGTGGGGGCCCTGAGGCACAAGGGTGGGCAGTGTAGCCTCAGGAGGGGGCCGGGCTGGGGCGGAGTGAGATGCACCAACCACAGGGGCCTTGGGGCCAGAAGAGGCCACGTCAGACATTGCCGTGGCAACGGCGGTGGGGGACAGACCTGTTCATGACCATGCATTAAAAGCCCTCCCTCAGACCAAGGTCTCACATGAGGGGTGAGTGTCAGAAGAAACACACCATGTGCTTGCTGATAGGAATTGTTCTGTTCTCACAAGCCGGTGAGGCCCAGGGAAACTCAGATGACATAGATTTATCGTCTCCTTGTTTTCATCATTAATTATTTCAGAAATAAAGTGCTTCGATGCTTTCACATACTGCAGGAATTCAATGACGACTTAGAGCTCAAACTAAGCATAGTTCATGATTTAAGTTGATATACACAGATTTCTACTCTTTGTTTGGAAATATTTTTTAAAAAAATGGAACACTGGATCAAACCTAATAAAGCTATTTATCAAATATCACCAGTGGGTAGCGTGAAATTATATTAGAATAAAGAGTTACTGGGAATTTGCAGCTTTGCCAACACATGTTTTCAGGAGAAACTAAGAATTTTCTTCTGAGTAAATCAAATAAAGGGAGATTCCTCTATAGGCTGAAGGAGAGGTTCTATCAAATTGAAAATGGAGAGTTAGTTCAAATGGGTAAGCCCCATCCCACCTTGTATTCAAAGCAGTACTTCTAGTGTGTCTCTGTAATGGAGGATTATCCCAGAGGGAAGTGTGGGAAAACCATGCATTGACCTTCTGTCTTCCCAGCATTTACAGGGAAAGACTGGGAACAGAATGAATGTCAGAAGATGCCCTAATGTCAAATATCACAACGAAGTAGCTGTGGATAGCAGAAAAATCACTCAGGAATTCAGTACAGGTGCTTGTCATCAAGCCATCTATCCATTCATACTAACTCTGTTTGGATGCTTTGTTTAAATAGGGGTAAGTAGTAGAAATAATAAAAAATGAATAACTATCTAATTGTAGAGACCCAGATTACCCAAAGCTGTCCCACAATACAGCAGGAAAAAACGATACTGCCCATCCTGTCCTCCCTTTTCTGCATCTCCTTCCCAAGCAACCCTCCACAACCCTGCGCCTATTGTCTGTTTCCCTGGATATCACTCCCTGAAGCAAGTATCATCATCGCTTCTGAAACAGCTCAGTGACAGGCAATCAATAACAAAGCCCATATATTGCCTACCACTCGCTACAGTGACGGGAAACACAAGTGAAACGACGCAGTGAAGTAAGTACCATGAAGGAACAAGGTGCTTCTAGGAGCCGGTGAGAACCTTGGCAATGCCCAGGTAGGCCCAAATCTGCAAAGCAACATCAGTACACTTTAACAGATTGTTTTTCAAAGATAATTGGACCATATTTCTCCTATTTATCTTATGCTACACTGTCTTACCTTTTTTTTTCTTTTTTTTCTTTTTTTGAAATTTCCTCCCAGACACCTAACTCCCATACAAGATGGACATTTTCCTGAAGTGGACACACAGCTTCTCTTGAAGCAAATCATCTATCTATCTGAACACAACAGGCAATGCAATTCAAAAACCTGACAATGGACCAGCACTTCTGGGGGAAAAAAAAATGCCCTTCCAGAATATTCAGAAATGACACTCAGGGTATTAAGCAATTAAATTTTGCCTAGGGGCACCTGGGTGGTGCATTGGGCTAAGCATCTGACTTGATTTCAGCTCAGGTCATGATCATCGTGGTCATGTGATCAAGCCCCACATTGGGTTCAGCAGTCAGCGCAGAGTCTGCTTGAGATTCTCTCTCTCCTTCTGCCCCTACCCCACCCCCAAGCATTCTCTCTCTCTCTCTCAAAATAAATAAATAAAATCTTAAAAAAATTTTTCGGGGTGCGGGGGCGGCACTTGGATGGCTCAGTCAGTTAAACATCTGTCTTCGGCTCAGGTCATGATTCCAGGGTCCTAGAACTGAGTCTTGGGTCAGTGGGGAACCTGCTTCTTCCTCTCTTTCTCCCTCTGCCTGCTGCTCCCTCTGCTTGTGCTCTCTCTCTTTCTGTCAAATAAATAAAGAAATAAAATATTTAATTTGGGGGTGGGGGGCACTAAACTGGCCAGTCCTAGGAACGTGGGATGATCTGTCACTTCCTTGCTTATCAGCATCTTCTGCCTGACTTTGACCTATTGTACATCATATCCATGGAGGCAGGCAGCTTCTCCCTGGCTTTCACTCACTAAAATAGCCTCTCTTTGGGGGTACCTTATTTCAACTTACATTTCCTGATACTATGCTAACTGAAAGAAACATCTCAGTTACAAATGGATAATCACTTTGAAATATCAATATTTAAGAGTATTTAGATTGCAACAAAAATTGTCCCGTCGTTACTATTTATCACCTAACAAAGAGCTTCATTAAATGGTTTCACAGAATCCTGTCTGCTCTGCTGTCTCTCCGATCTACAAGTCTATCACACTCACTCGAACCACCACCGTGGCAACAACAGAAAGGACAGATTATAAATCTGGTTTTTTATGTCCCTTCAGATAAAGTTTAAATGACTAGAAGAAGGATTTTTCACTGTCCTTGCTTCTGTATAGATTCTAAATCAGAGAAGACAATGTTTTCATTAGTTTAAGATGTCTTTTCCAGGAAATTCTCCTCCCTTAAGTTTGTGCAGTACTTTACAGTGTTTCAAAACATTTTTCACACATGCCACCAGAACTGATTCTCCCAAACACCTTATTATGAGATTGGAATTCGAAAACTGGAATAAGTCAAATTGAGTCAGCAGCTCACTCTCACTGTAATGGGATATGTTACCCTTTATCAGATTAACCACCAGCATCCTAGCCTTGGCCTCATATTTTTAATCTCTTTATCGCTTTCTGCTTCAAATTTAGTAACTTCTTCAATCTAGCTCCTCATTCATTAATTCTCACTTAATTTCTGTCTTACACGCTATTTACCCAAACCCTTAGTTGTTCACTGTAATAATCAGTTTTTATTTCCAAGAGCTCTAGTTGGTTCTTCAAATCTGCCTGTCATTTTTGCTTGATTATTAAAACACCATTTCTTGGAGAGAAAATAACAAGTGTTGGCAGGGATATGGAGGACCTGGAGCCCTGGCACACTGTTGGTGGGCACATAAAACGGTGCCGCTGTTACGGAAAACAGAAAAAATTTCAGGTAGAATTGCCATATGATTCAGCAATCCCAGTTCTGGGTAACTCACCCACAAGAATTGAAAGCAGGGTGCTGAACAGAGGTATCTGCACTCTTACATTCATGGCAGCATTGTTCACAATAGCCAGAAAGTGGAAACAACCCAAAAGGTCCATCAACGATAAATGGATAAACAATATAAATAGTGGAGTATTATTCAGCCTTAAGAAGCAAGGGAATTCTCACACAGAAAATGACCTGAAGACACTACGCTAAGTGAAATGATTCAGGAACCCAAAGGGTATGACTCTGTGTAGTTGAGGTCCCTAGTGTGGGCAAATGCACAGAGACAGAAAGTGGAAGGGCAGCCCCAGGGGCTGGCGGAGGGAGAACAGTGAGTAAGTGTAGACCGGGTGCAGGATGTTGGTGTGGTGAGGCGAGGGAGCAGGAGGTGGATGGTAGCAAGGGCCACACCACCACATGGATATCTTCAGTACCACTGAACTGTACAGTGACGGTGGTAAATTTTCCATTATGTATGCTACGACAATTAAAAATAATTTAAAATGTGAGAAGCGAAGGAGCCAACCTTTCAGAGGTCAGAGACCAGGAAGCAAAGACTTCCCACAAGGCCACCACATGCCTGACTCCCACATACGTCCCGTCATCCACTCACCTAGTGGCATCTCCCAGGCAGTGAGGAGGAATTAGAAATAAAATATTAAATCCAGGGCCACGATCATCATCATAACAGCCCATCACCCTCAGCAGGGAAGGCAGTCAGGCTCAGAGAGCCTGAGAGCAGGTGGGTACATGCAACAATTCTTCCATGACCCCAGGCAGAACGACTAGCCCTGACCCACACATGGAAATGTCGCAGCCATGAGCTGGTCTCTTCCCCTTCACGTGGTACATGCCTGGGTCTCAAAAAGAAGCCAATGCCATCTCTGAGGACAGTTCTGAACACAACAAGCACCACTTTATGAGAAGACCAAGGTGAGGAGTGTTCGTTCCCCCTGTGGAAGGCCCCAAACAGCCAGAGGCCAGCAGCCGGGCCCAGTCTGACATGGCAGCTCAGAGGGGAGAAGCTCTGCGGGGTCCCAGGGCCCCTGAGAAGGACGGCTGTGTTTCATGCCACCCAAGAAGCAGTGGTTATGAATTTAACATTTAAATATAATCAGGTTTTAGCCTTGTTGGAGCCAAAGGCTGGTTTTTGGCAATAAAAAAGGGCTTTAACAAGTGTCTATGACGGATTATGTTCAGGCTTTGCTAATGCATCCGTCATGTCAGCAGAGACGTGACGGGCAGCTGAAGCAATCCTATCAGGATGGGCTGTTCCACCCCAAATGTCCTAGCCAGACTACCGAGGCTCTCTCTTCGTGATTAGAGTTGGTCTTTGCCAATGCCTTAAGATCAGTTACCGATGACCTCCTCTAAACCCCTAAGACTCTGTTTACACTGAGAAAATGAAGAAGAGATGCTCTCCCATCAAATGGCAACTCTGTAAGGCTCCACCAGGATGCCACCACCACCTTTCCCAGCCTGGCTTTTTTAATCAGTGCATTTGTAGAAGGCTCGAATAGCACTGTACCCTTCCTTCAACCAGTGGTTCTCAGAATTGGCGGGGCAGCTGAATCCCCTGGAGAGTTCGTTAAATCACAGCTCGCTAGGTCCCACCCACCCCAGAGTTCGAGTTGGCACACCTGGGGCAAGGCCAAGCACCTGCATTTCTGACATGTTCCTGGGTGCGGCCTGTGCTCCTGCCCCACCATCACCTCGCCATCCCCCTACCTTTCCACAGCTAGCATGCTGGAGACGTCGTCACTTTCGCTTGGAATGCCATCTCCTCAGTGTGATGTCAAAACCTCAATGGCAACCAGGGGCAGTCCAAGTCTTCTCCCTTTCCCCTGCCCCAGGCTTCTTCTGCCCTCTTTCCCAAGGAGGGGTCAAAGGAAGGGTCAGAACATCCATTAAAATGGGGAGGAGGGAGAAGGGTATGCTAGGCAGCCCTGGTTAGCTTTTTCCCTTTTTGCTTCCACACCACCAGACAGAGAGGTAGGAGGCACGCACCCCAGCCAACTCTTCCTCTCTTCCTTTACCAAAGCAGATGTTTCCCTGCGGGACCCCAGAAGGAGAGGCAAGCTGGGCCAAGGCAGGATTCAGTGTTCCTGAGGCCCCCTGCCTAACAACCAGATCGGTGTCATCCTAATAGCTGTCTACTTTGCTTCCTGACACCTCTCCTCAAATAACAGCTGTTTGCCGAAACCTTCCTCACCTGTACTTCTGGAGGTCATACTTTTTCTACCTTGTTTAGAAGTCCTTTCCAATCTGTCTACCCCATGCCCTACTCTCTTCTGACTTGTACCCAGGAAGTACTCATTAAATATTTACTGAATTTAATTGAAACATCCTCTGAGGTCAGAGAGTGCACGTTGTCGATGTACCATTAGGAAAGCAAGAGTCATTGAAATTATATATCAAGAACATTTCATATTTGGGAAAGTCATTTCCAATACCACACGCTCCCAGAAATGTACTTCAGGAGGAGGTCATTCAACCACAGACCAGAGGAGTTTTCAGAGTCTGTAGATTTCCAAAGAGCCTATTAATTCCAGGAGGATATATTATAATACAATGTATTTAGCCCCCTAAAAACTCTTGTTAGTAAAACCGAAATTAACTTTGGGAAATAATACAGAAATTGGACTCATATCCTTGGTAACCTTTTTCCTTCGAAGCATGGCCCCTATTTAGCTTCTATTACCCACCCACCCCCAAATATCATAGCGATAGTATAGACTTGAGTTTCCTTTAGAGAGAACAAAAGACGGCAACTCACCTTAGAACTAGTTGTAACATCACATCTTCGCAATGTAAACCGATAAGAGTTCTAAATAATGCCAGGGACACCACACAGAGCTGGGAAGCAATAAACACACATTCTATTTCATATATTGGAAGGATAGCTCTACTCCCCACAGATGGAAAATAAATCAGAATTATAAAATAAAATGGCCTCCTTTTTTAGCAGCTTTGATAAAAACATGCTCCTGTTGTGTGTGTGTGAAGAACGTGTGTGAAGGCTTTTCGTTCTCCTATAGGATTTGATTAGAAAGCCTATGCCTAGAATTATGCCATTACACATAGTTACCCTCCTCCAAAATGCCTTTGCTCTTATTTCCAATTTTACAGATCCACATAAGCAAGCCCCTACCACTCTCCAATACACACACGGACACACTCACATACATGATCTCCTGCCTGGCACTTGTTTTCCCAAGTTATTTTCAAATATGGTGCTGGTTATTTACAAGACAGGCTACCAGAAAATTGCAAATGCCCTGACCAGCACCCCCCTAGAGTTCTTAGCCTCACGCCTCAGCTCCTTTTGGCTTATCTCTTGGGTTTGGGGCAAACATTCTCCTTGGTTCCATTTCCAATAGTGCTGAGGCTATAACGATACACTTTTCTAAGAAGTTCAGTCAAAAACAAGAATTCATTCACTCTCTAATTTCCGAAAAGGAAAGATAAATGGCAAACAGGGAGGATTCCCAAAGGTGTATTATAAACTGATTGTACCCTTTTCGGAGTAAGCTTTTTATCATTCCATCAGACCACTTAAGTAATTTTTTGTCCCAGTGAGAAAGTGCTAGTCTAGTCTGTCCACTAGGCAAGATGGACTTAAAACCTGGTCAGTGGAATTCAGAATGGTTGTCATAATAATAAGAGCTACAAGAATAGAAAAAATAATATTCCTCATTTATTCCCAAAACAAACTCTCCTGAAATTTGTTCTGAGTTATAAAGTCCCTTCCTCTGGGGCTCTCCTTACCCGAAATGGGGTGTTGATTCGGCTCGTGAGGGTATCTAGGATGTGGACATTCTCGTGCTGGTGCAAGAGGATAAAACGGAGGAAGATCTCGAGTAGTGCTGGCTCGGAGATACTACGCAGGAAAAGGTCCAGATATGCAGTTGTGGTCATGACCTCCTCCACAGTCACCTGGGACCAACGACAGAATGAGCACAGGTGAGCGTCCTCTTGATGCTGTGATCCATGCTTCCCCAAAGGCTCCTGGCCTCACCGCAGTGACCCCATCAAGGCAAGGACACACCAACCACCAGAACCTGCTTCAGAGCCGCATCTGAAGCCTATAACCTATTCACATTCCACGATACCTCATGCTGCTTCCGCCCTTTAGTTCAGTAAGGGAGAAGCAAAGACATAAAAAAGCAATTCAAGTGTTCTGACAACTCTAATCATCAAATGCAGTTCAAATACCATAAAGATTTTAGCGTGGAACCACAAAGGGGAAAAAGAGATCATGGAAAGTATCTGCGTGGTCGGTTAAGAATTAATTAGAACGCCCAGTATAACTGTTTCGTTAGTAGTCATCCGATAAATATTTATTGGACCTGCTATGTACCAGGAGCTAGAAAATGTAAGAACACATTTTCTGTCCAGGATGATGGGTGTAGACGTAGAATCTCATAAGCAAAATAACATCATCATCAGTGGGAATTAAGAGGGACAGACGCAAAGTTCCACAGATGTCTAGATAGGTTTCTGGAACATTGCAAGTCAAATTTGTATCACTGAATAACATACATAAAGTGTTACTTCTTTTTTTTTTTTTTTTTAAAGGTTTTATTTATTTGACAGACAGAGATCACAAGTAGGCGGAGAGAGGAGGAAGCAGGCTCCCTGCTTCTATCTTGTGGGGGGCAGGGCGGGGAAGCAGGCTCCCCGCTGAGCAGAGAGTCCAATGTGGGGCCCGATCCCAGGACCCTGAGATCATGACCTAAGCTGAAGGCAGAGGCTTAACCCACTGCAGCCACCCAGGTGCCCCATAAAGTGTTACTTCTAAAGCGCTATAAGAGTTTACTGCTTCTAAAGTAACTTTTTTTTTTTTTTTTTTTAAATAACACAAACGAGTACTGTCTACGTGGTGTGAATTTCCTTGCAGTCTTTCAGGGAAGAGAAGACTCTGAACAGTCAAGTTTTCGAAGTGCCAAGGATTTGGTACTCAAAGCCTTTGGATTTTCAACATTTTGATAGGGAGTATTTTCAGAGCTCATACGCAATTCTCTGTCTTCTTCTCCTTCTTCTTTTTTTTTTTAAGATTTTATTTATTTATTTGACAGAGAAAGACACAGCGAGAGAGGGGACACAAGCAGGGGGAGTGGGAGAGGGAGAAGCAGGCTTCCCGGTGAGCAGGGAGCTCCATACAGGGCTCGATCCTGGGACCCTGGGATCATGACCTGAGCGAAGGCAGACACCTAACGACTGAGCCCCCCCCGGCACCCCTATTCTTTAGCTTCCCAAAAGCAAAGTTCCACACCTCTTCATGAACAGGGGTCATCTGCGGCCTTACTGTCTGTAGAGGCGAATTACCCACCCTGGGAGGCATGAAAATCACCAGGGCAACAGCTGCAAATCTCAGACTCCACCCCTCTGCTCTCGAAATCTTGGAAATCTCCCCAGTCCTGAGTCTAACGCCCTCGATCACTTGATGTTAAGTGAAACAGAAGGCGAGGCTTCTTGAATGATTACATCTTCTCTTTTCCAGTTATTCACTTCTTTCTTCCTTCCTTTCGAAGTGTGAACGGTCACATTATCATACTGGGACTGGTCATTTCTTTTATAATACATTCCTCTTCTCTTTGGAATGTTCTGCCTTCAGAAGCCACAAAGCAGTTTAGAAATCAGATCTCGAAATCTGCTCTGTAAGTATAGATAGGCTCCATGCAGGTGTAGCTGTACATAAAGGCTTAAATTATTTTTATAAATTTCCTTGCCGGGGGGCGGGGCGCCTGGGTGTCTCAGTCAGTTGAGAAGCTGCCTTCAGCTCAGGTCATGGTCCCAGAGTCCTGGGATCGAGCCCCGCGTCAGGCTCCCTGCTTGATGGAGAGCTGCTTCTCTCTCTGCCTGCGGCTCCCCCTTCTTGGCTCTCTCACTCTTGCTCTCTCTCAGATAAATAAATAAAATCTTTTTAAAAAATAAAAATAAAATAGATTTTCTTGAGCCTTAGGGATGTTCCAGACAGAGGAGTCCAGATGGATAAGATACGACCATATCAGTGTTGTCTATCTTCTTTACGCTAAGTAAGGCGCGCCTACACAGTACAGGTGAACTCACCCTCTTGGGGCTGACGGTGAGCGGCCTGAGCACGCACATATCAGAGGGCAAACGCTCTGCCCCTCCAGCTCAGCACCCATGCCGCGAGCCCTCAAAACATTCAACACACCACTGTATCATCTGGCCAACTTTTCAGGGCTCTCTGTGGCCCAGATAAAACAAAGGAAACAGGTAAACCTCAACCACCTGGCAAATAAATTACCTTCTGAGAAGAGTGTTTCTCAGGAGCTGCCCCTGCTCCTGAAACCCACTGCTTCCGTCCCTGTGTTTCCTGGTCTTCTCTGATCCCACACTCATGGCACTCTTAATGCTGTCCTGGGACACACGCTATGGCTTGTGTATTACTCCAGTGCAATGTACAGAGTTTGGCAAGAGAAGGGACTGCCTGTAACTTTTCCTGAATAAATGATAGCCCCCAAGGTCCTAGTGATTTACATTTGCCGGAACTGAGCTTAATTTTTAATTCATCTCTCCTCTCTGGCCCTCTGCCCTGAGGACCCCTGAAAGGGGGGGCATTTTTTTCTAAACACCTATAGAATAATGGATGTCACCAAATATAGCTAAAAGGGAAATGACCCACACCACCACCAAACACACAGCTCCGTTAGCTTGCACCCATTCCGCTGCTGCAGTCTTGGGGTCCTTTAGCCAAAACTGAATCCAAAGTCATGTAGGCAGAAGTCCGATTCCCTAATAATCAAACGGCTAGGAAAAAAGTAGCACTTTTTAAACGGGCCATGCATGCATGCAGTTTCTGCGATAATGCATTTCAACCTTACTTACTGAGCTGCTGAGCTGACACACGTCCTGCAGAATTCCAGGAGCTGTCGTTGCACCAACAATGCACCATCAGCTTTTCCCCCCTTAAGTTACACATGACCTTAATAAGCTCAAAAGCACAGCAATAAACCCTTTAGAATAGAAGTCTCGGTCTTTGGGGGCTGACATGAAAGCAGGGCATTAAGCATCTATTGTTTACTACTCTTAGGCTGCATAAATGAAAGATTTTATTATTTTTATTTATTTATTTTTTTTTTTTTTTAGCAATCAAAGCTGTCATTTATGAGCTAAGAGGATTTAAGAAAAACACTTGGAGGGCTAGCATTTACATAACATGGTGTAAATGCCAAAACCCAATTCTATTAAGCATCGAGTTGCAACCTCTTTGTAAATCGAGGTCACCCTCACCTTAAACTAATACCTAAGCCAAGAAAACCTGGTTCCCTTCTCTTTCTGTCTCTTCCCTCCTCCATATTCAAGAAGCCCTCAGAAGACTTTTATCCCAGAAAATCTTTTCCTGCCCCATTATCTTACTTTGCAGAATCTTCCTCTAATCCCCCAAATAGACATGCTCCTTAAGGAGGATGAGACCAGAGCCTAAGTATGATCGCTGGAAAGCTAATGCTGAACCACCAGGGGACAGCAGCTCTGCTGCGTGGAATGCAAAACCAAAGCTGCCACTCATGCCCCAAAAAGGAAGAATTCGCCCAACGGGACAGTAGCATCCTCTTCGTGGTCCAACTACGAAGGACGATCAGTTGTTGATGTACCTAAGACCTTTTGCCTTACAGAGGATGGTCAGCATCCATTTCTCTTGTGCTGTAAGGAATTGCAGGTGGCTACAGATTTAGGTAGAAATACTAGAAGAATTAGGAAATGAGGTTCTGCCTTACTACCATGTAAGACACGAGAAAATTTAAGGATACTCAAGCCTAGGAATGTTAATTCTTACTAAAGGCAGACCATAATGAGAGGAATAACCTAAGGAAAACTCTGTCCACAAACAAATATTTATCCTTGACAAGATAAAGCACAAGCATGAACCTAAACAATGCGTCTGCTGATGGCACCCTTCTGCGTGCAACTTTCCAGCCCCGGTTCTAGAATGGAACCTGAGCCCTGACTCAGGGACATAATCTTACTTGGACCAAGTCAAGTTGAGTGGATCCTTTGAAATCAATCCCTTTCTTCACCCACCTTCTCCACCCCCCACTAGCTCTCACCCGGGTCCCCCATCACATTGAGTGCCTTCATCAGCCCCTTAAATGGTGTTTTCCCAAACTAGAGTCTGAGATCCGAAAGTGGAAAGTGAAATCAATGTATTGGTTCACTCATCGTGTACACCAGATTCAAACCATAAATATTAGGGTATGCTGCACAGAGTAGGTACTGTTTTGGGAAACTTCTGTGTGTCTATTTTGCTCAAATTAGATGTAATGCAATATATTACATATGCATGGCCTTCATTATCTAGTCAGTAAAAAATATAGACACACACACACTCAAATGAATAAATCTTTGACCGTGCATTACAGTTAGAGACATCTAAAAAGCACTAGAGTACAAGGCAACAACCAAACAAACCCACCAGCCTTTTGGCCATCCCCTGACCCATTCCCGTCACCAGTCCCTCACTCTAGGCTCCAACCCAGCATGGTCCGAGTCCAGAAGCAGTGCTTCTATGTACAGACGGGATCAGCACTCCCAAAAGGACAGCAACTGAATTCACCGTCCATCTACTCCTTTCTATTTTAGCATAAGGCTCCAACCACGCACATATTATGCTTGCTTGTTTTAATCAGTATCCCAAAAGCTTCTCTGGAAAAGGGACAAAATAGAGTTTGTTCTCCTTTAAAAGGGGGATGGGTAGGAAGGGAGGAGTTGATACCGTGTGTCACCTTCTGCTTCTGTAATTCAAAACTCTCTGAAAGGAAGGCCAGCCCCAAGCCCAGCCATCATGGCCACCATCGCCGCGGCATATTCACTTAATGCCTAGCATAGGAGTGAAATTGAGCATACAGACATTCTGACCTTTCTGTAATCAGCTCTAGTTGGGCAATTCCATTTGCATCTAAATTAGCACC